AAGAAGCCCGGAAATTCATCCTTGATTACTTCCCCGTCTTTTTTCGTATACAAAGGTTTTATAGCTATGCCCTAAAGTAAAAATATATTTAAGAGTGCGGAAGAAAGTTAATATGTAAGAGGTAAATAAGGTAGCATGACATCATTATGAACATGTTCACAAAACCTGCTAATATTTAGTGTATTATTTAACCCTTAGGAGGACCGTTGTTTCACGGCTCAAACGTAAGCCGCAGTAAAGTTGTCGAGGTGAAAGATCAGACTAACCATTGCATAGAAAAAAAATTCATAAATAATTCTTCAGGTTTCTGATTTTGGGCCTATAGTTATATTCATAGTTGTTTCAATGATTCATAGTTCGGGGCACCAAATACAGCAGACAGTAAATAGTTTTATGCCAACACGTTTCACTGCACAAACCGCAGCATCACCAGGGATGGACTGAGTATAACTGACTGCTTGAAGGCATTCATATCTAACAAGTGAACAATGCCAATTTTTCAACTGGCTCATCACATTCAGTCAAGACGTTGTTAAGCTGACTGAATAAAGTATAATATTTACATCAAAATGAATTTATTTTTTGATCATTTGATTATGCTTATCAGTTTTGTGACTGCGCCCCAGCTTTCATTGAGAACAACTCGTATTCTGTGTCAAGCATGCACAAGGACTCTTTTATCAGCAGACCTAATTTAGCTTTATCTTTGTCTATGACACACGCGCATTGCTCTGACTGTAAGAACGCCCTTCAGTAATCCCATGCTGGGCAACACAAAAACATACTCATATATGAGCAATATAATAAACAAACTACACATAGATTGCCTCTGTTGGAAATACGAGTTTATCGGCATATTAGTTTACACAAAACGGTGCAACAAATAGAAACAGCTAATGAAAATATGAATTTTCATTGCTTTCGACAGCGCGAAAGACTTTGAACTACCCAATTCTCTGAGAGTCTAGGAGAGGAGAGATATATGGAACTTCGCTCAACCAAAGAAAGCGTTGATAATGCTTCCAACTGTGGAATACACTCAAACGGAAGGCTAATCAGGTGAGTAGCGACTGACCACATCTAATGATTGCACTGATGTACTTTCATCAGTGATTTCAGATGGATCGACTATAGGGTTGCGATAAATCAGTAGGTAAGTTGGGGCAGGATTCTACATTTACTTGCAAGATTTGTGGTAGCTGAGCCAAAACTTACAACAACTTTCGCTTGAAACGTTCAAATTCAAAAAGTTCAATTTCAAATATATTCACATATACAAAAAATATCTTGCTGGGAAAATTGAAAATTGACGAGTATAAAGGCATGGCACATAAAGGTACATTAAAGCTCACAAACTGCACATCTATGAATATTTTTGCTCTCAAAATTATCAATGTTAATAATTTCATACTGAATCAGGAAATACGCAACCAAGCAAGATCCACGGTGTAGTTCCCTCCATCCCCGTTTGGACATCGAAGCATGGTACCTGCATCCTAGCCATGTTGAAAATGATATAACAGTAAATAATTGAATCGAAGTGAAACGAGGCATATCAAAACAAACTTCAAAATACTAAATAAGTCCATGAGATGAGAAAGAAAATGTTTAATATAACCTTTTATACCGGATCGAAGCCGCATATTGGCATCGTCCCTTTGATTCTAGGCGCCTAGGGGACCACATAAGCAGGCCACGGCTTAATGGTATTTGAGCATCTGCAGTGCATGGATGCAAAATCGCATCACTAGGCAAAGCCGAACAATAGCCTATTCGGACATCTGCAAGTATGCCTACTGGTAGGCCTATTTATACATAAAAATTGTTCTTCGCTATTTCACTTAGCTGCGGGGACTTGCAGCAAGCTAGTAAATCCATAAGATTGGGCTTATTTTTATGTATAAAGAAAAATGTCTATTGACATACAGTATGGCGTACCACAAGCAGCAAAGGTGGACTAATGACAAGGGTCACTTCCAGCTTGTTTATACTTAGATTATGATAGCATCATAAATCTTTCTTCTATTAGATTATTTTCTAGCCATTCTTTGAGTACAAACACTATTATATGAGGTGTCTCTTGATTACGTGTTATCGAGCTTCATTATACCAACTCTAATTTCGTTTCCTTAGTTTATTGTTGCCCTATGTAAGGTATAAAAAATAACATTTAAAGTCATAACAAGTGCTAAGTTATGCAATTTGATTAACAGAGCGCGTTTTAAAAAATACAGGGCAATTTTGGGACGTATACCACAAAGTGGCAATAAACTAAAGAAATAAGCTGCGAGTATCAGAATGAGAATACATGATATACACAAAACTAATGCGAATATTTAAGTCAGATTCTTTAGTTTCTTGATCCATGATCATAAAATCACAAAAGAAATTAAAAAATCATAAAAATTTACACACAATACTGATAGCAAGGTCGCTTTACCATGAACCGATGCTGAATTTTACAACAAATTACAAACTTGATTTTTCCATACCATCAAACTATTTGTCGCCGTTTAACATACTAAATTAGCATTAAATGCAACCTCATCAGATCAAACCGATCTCCTACGTAACTCTAAGCAATGGTCGAATGCCCACGCAGCATTAATATTATTTTCCGCTTCAACTGTGACGCAACTGAGTTAGGGGTAAGGAACTAAGTAGGTCGTTTCCGTGTGTGCAGCAGGCTGTAATGCCTTAGTAGTTCGTGGTGTGCTAAAGAACTTTTTGTATCTCGCCAAGTTTGGAGTCGGAACAGCGTGACTCATTCTTCAGCTTAAAAGGTAGTAAATATCTTAATGTCCATGACATTCGGCTTGTATGGACACGACAGAAACTTTCTACCATCTTCAAGACAAAGTGACACTGGAACTTGCCTTGTTGAGCCTTGAATAAGGATTTTGAATGTTTCATTTGGCTCGCGACTGATTCCAAAGGGTGCTAATGTTTTTCAGTCAGCAGTCAGCATAGGACTATGATTGGTTTGAAGAAAGGTTTTTATGGTTCGTAGAGCTCTGTTTAACGTTCATGTCTGTCTCTAACGAGGATATAAAACAGTAAATAACAAAATAGTTTTTCATAATTAGCGGATGAAAGTGGCGGCCCTGTGTAGTGTGACAAGCAACAAAACGTATAATTTAACAGGGACATAACCAATCTGAGAAAAAAACATACTTCTGGCGTCTTCCATGTCAACGTGTTTGGATCTTTGCCCTTCAAAGCTTTCGTGGCTGATTTCACCCATTCCGGGGGAAGCGGTATTTGCGACGCACTCGCCTTCTGATTATGCTGCACGGAACATGCTTGGTAGAAGGAACCCTGAAAATAAAACAACAAATATTCCCATCTGATTAATACATCGATACTTAATTAAAGATCTTAACCTAACAACCATCTTAGATATGACCAATATCACTGTAGCATAACTGTCCTGTTAACTAGCTGCTGCAATAACGTTTTTTTTCAGCTTGATCAATAACAACCGCTTTTGTGTACCTGAGAATAATCGGAGTATAGCTAAAGCAGAAAAACTGACTTCCGAATATCGTCGCCACAACGATCTCACACAACATTTGGATCTAATTCTTGTTTACTAATGATATCTAAACAGACAAAACTATCAACCCACCTTTCAGTAAAGAAAATAATCGTACATTTTCCAAGAAACATCTGTACAAATGAGGTAGATGAGGTAGTACTAGAGAAAATGGGGTCCATAAACGTTTGTACAGACGTAAATAAGCGAATAACGAAGAAGAAAGGCTGTACATTCATCCCTGAGACCAATGACGAACGGCGAAGATCGACCATATCGAATACGTGTGATATACATAATATATACAGCAAGGGAGCGAGAGGAGGTCACGGAGACCACCGCAGCACTGCGCTCTCGCAGGCGCAGCGCACGACGTCCGCATCGAGGGCAAGTAAACAATAGGAGTAGCCAATGGCCGGTCGATAAATCAATCGATAACTCTATTGATCGAAATCGCCACTGTCCACATAGCTTTAGCTAAGGACATTTCGAGATTCATAATATAGATGTTTCAAAAGCCGTCTGGCCTCAAGTTAGTAGACGGCAATTGACATGAACAGCTGTATATGAACGATCAGAAATGCTGCGCACAAATCATGCACAACCTATAAACCCGCCATGCCGGAATATCTGGAATCGCCAGAATAACTGGATAGCTGTATGAGCGGTACAATCAACATCCAAGATTAATTTTTCTCTCTATCAACTAGCTCTAGCGGGCATCTTGTCCGAAGATTAACAGGTAGATTTCAAATCACGATCGCTCGGTTCCTTTGAGACAGTGGTTTGCGTTTTCATTATCAACTACCAGTACTAGTGATTACTGCATAACGTTAAAGATCAGCGATGTTTACTGCATTCGAAGTTTCTAGATACTAGCTGTGACACGCCGGTTACTGCATTATAAAAGAAACAGTTCCTCTCCGAACGCAGATTTTCCCATACGTTGCAAGTGGGCGCCATTGTCTGGGTCACCCGTGTTTCGGTTCCCTTATGAAAAGCCCGCGGGTAAGAGAGATGGTTTCATACACGACCAATTTGCCTATCAGAACCATCCTCTTTTCTTAATCACTAATTTCAATATCTACTGATGATACTTGTGTGTACTTCAGAGAAATACAGCCACTGAATAGTGGTCTTGCCATTTAGCTGTCGCTAAATTTAAGACTGCTATAGTCCGTTAAACCGTCTTTCTTGTGGACCTTCATTTAAACAACAAGACTGACCTGACTAATGCAAGATATAAGGGGATTTTGGTAAATCGAATATTCCTAACCAGCTACACGATAAATTACCAAATACACTGGAAACAATGATTTATGCGCTTGTCTATTACTTCTACCATCAACTGTATCCC